ACTTAGTAGAATGTTGAGAAATAATCAAATGTTTTTTTGTAGTTTTGGTATAAGTGATCTACGGAAAGAGTTGCTTTTTGAGCTGGTTTTCTATTAGTATACTTGTTAGATAACATCAAAATGTATTTAATATTCATCTAATTTAATAATCTTTTATTGCTTAAATTTCTAAATAGTTTATTTTTAGAATTATGACAGATAAATTAATATGCAAAAATAGTAAAGTTTTTATAATATGTTTTATATATTAAAATCTAATTATTAATGAACTAAAAGTTATTTTATTAAAACTTGAAGATTTAGCTCAATGCTTTGAAGCTTCAGTTGTATATATGATTATTAAATCCTATAATCAATATTAACTAAATCTAACCAAGTGCCTAACTTGAATAATCAATAACACTGCTTATATATTTAGTTTTTTTTTTTAGTATTAAGGTGACCTCTTTGGTTTTAGCTTTTTATTTTTTTTTTATTTTTTTTTTTTTTTTTGTTAAAGGCCATACTTGTGGTGATACTTTATTGACTTACATTAGGTTAGCTATTACAACTATTTTTACAGAAATAAGAGTACAACTAGTCATATATGCAACTTTTGGTTGCTTATTTAAATAGTTCACCCTAAGGTTCTACACTAGATGCTATACTTATAATCTACTAGGAGATTATCTATTTAAACTCTCTAATCATTTGTTTTATCATATTGGAATTTCAACTTATCTCTGTATATACCTAACTGATATACCATCTGAGCAGTATGATATCTATCTTTTTTATACTAGTTCTCAGACTATTATATATTTCAGAATATATTACTTGCCAGTAAGATGCAGAAGGCCTCTTGTTGTTAACTATCTACTTATTTTAGAACACTAACATGGGCTACCTTTACAGAATTCACCCAGACTCTGGCACTGACTTCATAGCATATCCCTAGTACTTTTAGTATATTTCTGCTTTTAAACTCAGACTTCCAATTCAGATAGCCCAAAAGGACTATGACCTGTCCTTGATATATTAAGACTGATCCAATATTCTTTTACTCTGATCTGAAATCTGGTAGCCTAATTGGTGGTACCTCTTATCTGAGGTTCTTGTTTGCCCAATTCCTCTACATTGGTATCTATTTTCTAAATCTAGCTTTTATAGTAGTACTGTTAAAGATCCATGTTACTTCTCTGCTTAGAATTTCCAAGTAAGCTTCAGCTTCTCAGTTTTACAGATTTACACAGCCTGAGAACTTATTTTAGGTTTGCACTGTCTAGTACTAGTTTGCATTCCTCTATATAACAGATTACACATATGCTTCAGACTTGCCAGTCATGCTAATGTAACTATAGTTACAGGTATCCTATCTCAACTAATCAACAGAATGCCATTATTATAATATCATTTATATATTACATAGGTGATTATTCAAATTTCACCATCAGTGAGTTTTAAATTCATAACCTACTACTTGGGATATAACAACTTATCTACTTCACTAAGTCATCATATTCTAGTTTTTTATTAATACTTATGTTAGGTATATGTTTTATATAAATGTATCTTTATTAAACTATTAGATGAGTATATAATTGGTTATACATTTAATTTTTTTATATTATCTATTTAAGAAGTCTATCTAAAGGTTCTCTATCAGTTGCTATATCTAATACTTCTGCTTAGATGTTCTATTTAAACTTTCTGATCTAATCCTACAGTAGTATTAATTTTACTAGATTACAGATCCAGAATATTCACTTTTAATCATAGAACTATAATTCTTAGATTATTTTTATTCTCAAGATAAATCTACCAGAATAAGTTGTATTTCTTTTTACTGCTAATCTGGTTTGATGCTATGGCCAAGACCAACACTTGTAGTTAAGATTACTTATTAAATTGCTATTACCTTTGTAAAGTTTACTCAAACCCTAGTATCCATTTTTTTGATTTTTTCTTCATCATCTCTTATTAGCCACAACTTGGAACCAACTGACTCTTCAGACTTTCAATTCAGATAGCCTAATATGATATATATTCTTTTTTTTTAGTAATTCTAGTGGCTTGGTTGGTTATGTACTCTTCTATACATCTTGTTATCTGGTTTATCAGATAGTTTCTATAAAGATGTTTTATGGATTTCTATTGATCTAATGACATGTCAAAAGTTTGTGTTATCTTTTTATTTAGGATTTTCAAATAGGTTTTCATTTTCATGGTTTCTTAGCCTTTTATGCTTAGTGATCTTATTATGGATTTGTACTGAAATCATGTGACACCAGTTTTTTACATTCTTCTATATACATGTAATATTATATTTCACATAGATGTTCTAAGCTCCCAATGTCAGATAGAACCCAACTTGGTGTATCTAAGATTATAGATGCCCAAAACCCAACCGATCAGCAAGAGACAGTTATTATAACACAAATATAATTTTCAAAATTCATTATCTATAGAAATTGAACCTTAGATCTGTCACTTGAGAGTTGACAACTTATTTACTTTACTAGGTTATTACACCCTATATATTTAGTTCTAAAAATAATGCAATAACATTATTTAATAAGAAAATTAATTCAAATTCATTTTGAATTTCATGCAACACTTATAATAATAATAAATTTTAAAAATACAATATTTGAAAAATTAAAAGTTAAAAAAGAATTTTCTATTCAAAAACATCCTTATAATCTACTTTACTTTATTTGAAAATTATATTATAGTTATAGTGAAAATAACAAAGGTAACCTTATTAACATAAAATCAATATATATTTCTGATTTATATTTTAAGTTATTCAACATTCAGTTTACTAAGTTTCAAAAGCCTTTAAGACAATGATGATTATATAAACTGCAAGCAATAAGACAACTAGTAAAAAAAAAAGAATATTTAGAAAATTTTGCTCTTTGGTTTTTAAATAGACTGCAATTACAAAGAAAAATTTCAAAAATTTAATTTAAAAATTAGGAACTTCCTCACAATGGCTCATAGATTCAAATTTAAAAATACAAATTAAATATTTTGTAAAATTTGATGAGCAAATTTATGAATTGATTATAAATTTTCTTATTAGATCTGATAAAAAACTATGAATTCTTCAACCTAATTGCCAATTATCATTACTTTTACCTAGTCAAAGAGCTCATAAAATGTCTGATGCAATTGTTAAATATATAGATGATTTGTATAAAATTTGAGATAATATTTATTTATTTGTTGATAAAGAATTATGAAATGCTATTAATATCTTAGATAAAGATGACTTCAGAAACTTCTTTAATAATTTAGAGTCTAGTATTAATAAAATCATAAATTCTTTAGATAAATGGATAAACATGTAACTTTACCTTCTATTAAGCATATGTTAATTAGGTGATAAATATAAATATGAGTTTGTTAAAAGTTATCTGTATGTAAGACTAAAAAAACAATTCCTAGTTTCAAAGAATTATATTATACAACACTTTTAGAATTAGATATTGAACAATCTAATTTTAATGATTTTGGTTTATTATAAGCAATGAAGATCTGTTATTTATAGAAGAATTACTTAATTTTGCTGATTCTGATAAGTTACCAGTTCATGCTTTTCTTTTACTATATGAATTTGTCAAATGTTGACTTTATTATATAGTTATTCATCAGCAACAAATTGAAGGTCTATTCAATAAGTATGACCTTAAATGTCATCCAAACATGAATTTTGAAACCAAGAAAGCCAAACTTTGTCTTTCAGGTATCAAGAAAATTTCTCTGTCTGATGAAGAATTGGCGGCACAAAGAAAAACTAAAAGAAAACTAGATGAGCAAGATGACGAAAAACAGAATAATGAAAAACAAAGTGATGAAAAGCAAGGTAATGAAAAACAGATAACGTTTGGAGAAATAGAAGCTAATAGATTGTTTAAGAGTTTGTTCGATAAATAAAGAAAATAATAAGTGAAAATTTAAATTTTCCGAAATTTCCGAAATTACTTAAAAACCCTGTAAAAACTCCTTAAATATGCAACCCTGACTATGATTTGATTTACCGATATTTTGAACACCCTAACGTAGCAAGTTAAAAGTTTAATATTACGAGTAATAAAATTTAAAAATATATTGTACAATAAAAATTATAAAAGTTTTTATTTGTATACTAGTATATAAAACACAAGTGCTTATTATACTTAAAATTTTGTTTATAAGACTATTTTGGGATTCTACAGAAACAAAAAAGATTCCCTATAAAATTTTATTATAAAAATTGTTACTTTAAATTTATATTACATAAATTTACAATAGTGTAAATTAAGAAACTAATATATAAATATATATTGTACAAGAATATGTCAAAATTTTTATTAAGACACCTCATTTGGAAATGCGATTAAAGTTTGTGTTTTAACTCGGGAAGATCATAATACAATTCAAGACTTTCAGGGTTTGCTAATGAACTTGAAGGAACCACCTTTTCTCCGGATATTATACGTTTCACCGCAACTTCAACCTTCTTACCAGTTAATGTATGCTACAAAACAAAAAAAGGCCAAAAGATAAAAATCATTAAATAAATAAAGTAATTAAGTAAATAAATAAATAAAATTAAACACACCGGAATATCACGAATGGGTAAAATAAAACTAGGAACATGTCTAGGGCTTAATTGTTCTCTAATCTTTGTCTTAATTCTCGTTACTAATTCATTGTTAAAATTAATTCCATCACACATCTTTAAAAATAACACAACTCTTTCATCTTCACCAACTTTCTGACCTACAGCCAAACTATCTTGAACTTCCGGGAAATTTTCTACAATATTGTAAATTTCTGCGCTACCAAATCTAACACCACTTGGATTTAAAGTACCATCAGAACGACCTAACATTACCACTCCACCTGTATTTGGGTTTATCCACATATAATCACCATGATACCAAACTGATGAATAGTTTGAAAAATACGCTTCCATGTATTTTGTGTTGTTATGACTATCATTGTAAAAATATAGTGGCATACATGGAAATGGCTTTGTACATACTAAATCTGCAGATTTAGCATATACAGGATTATCTAAGATAGATTATTATCGAAAAAAAATTTAAATAAAAATGAAAATTCTTGATAATGTATGATAGGTTAATGAAATTTACCTTCACCATCCCAAGCCTCAATTTTCATACCCAAACAAGTGCATTGAATTTCACCACGATAAACCGGGAGAGTAACATTAAGGCCACAAAATAACGAACAAAGGTCGGTTCCACCTGAAATAAAATAAAAATTATAAATATAAATCGAATTTAGTAAAATATAAACAATTATCAAGATAAACTCACCAGTGATCGAACCCAACAAAACATCTTTTTTAATTGAGTTATAAACATAATCAAAGCTTTCAGGTTTTAAAGGTGAACCGGTTGACAAAATTATTCTAATTGATCGTAAATTACATTGTTCGATGGGTTTATAATTGACATCTTGAAGAGTTTGAATATACTTTGCGGAAATTCCGAAAATTGTAATCCTAAAGACAAAATAAAATAAATAAATAAATATATATATATATGCATAAAATGGTATAAATTTATTTTATATTATAAATATTTAATAGACATTTAATTCTTAGACTTACCCAATTTGATCACTTAATTCCCAAAGAACGGATGGCCTTGGTTTAAAAGGTGATCCTTCATATAAAACAATTGTACAACCAGTTGCCAATCCTGAAACCAACCAATTCCACATCATCCATCCGGTAGTTGTATAATAAAAAAATACATCATTTGGTGACATATTCCCATGTAAAATGTGCTCTTTCTTATGTTGAATTAATACTCCTCCTGCTCTATGAACCATGCATTTAGGTTTTCCAGTCGTTCCAGAAGAAAAAAGAATATAAAGTGGATGATCGAATGGCAATTGTTCAAAATCTATTTCATCTGAATTAGAGCCTAGAACTGAATAATTATTCAGAAAATCATTCCAAGAAGTTGCTAATGAAATTGAAGATAAATCACAATTATCAAATTCATTGAAAGGAATGACAATAACTTTTTCTAGTCCCACTTTCTCTAAACTTTCAGCCACAAGTTTAAGTTTTGGTAAAATGTCAATGGTTTTTTCGTTATATACGACAGAATTTGCAGAAAATAAAAATTTTGGACGAATCTGTGAAAATCTATCAAGAACTCCTGAAACACCAAAATCAGGAGAAGTACTACTCCAAATGGCACCGATACTAGCAGAAGCAAGCATTGCAATAACAGCTTCAGGACAATTGGAAATATATGCACTAATTCTATCACCCTTTCGAACACCAGCCGATCGCATTGCAACTACCATACGTTTAACTTGTTCATATAAATCACGATAAGAAATTGTTTTTATAGATTTTCCTTCACCTAAAAATCATCAAATACAAATAAATATTTACATTGATTATTTATCAGATAAAAAAAAAAGAAAAAAAGTCATCAAACCAGCTGAAATAATAGCAGTTCTATTCTCATCACGGCACCATAATAAGTTCTGGGCAAAATTAAGCTTTGCACCAGAAAACCAAGCTGGTAATTTATCCATTGGAATAGATTCTACAACCTACAATATTTAAAAAAATCAAAATAAATATATCATACATTTACATATATTATTATATATTATATATTATATATATACGTATAATACGATTACCATTAAGTTAAAGAATAATGGATTGGTGAAATAATAATTACCTGTTTGTAAGGAATTGAATGAATGATGTTGGTATAATCCCAAACTGTAGCCCAAAAATCCGAAATATTATCGGTAGACCATTTCCAAAGTTGGTGATAATTTTCTAATGAATTATAATAAAATAAGATTAATTGAAAGATACAAATATTTGAAATAACTACCTAAATACCTAAATTAACATTAAATCTTTCATTAACCATTAATCGAAATTTTTCCATTTCAGTATTTGATATATTATTTGGTCTCCACATTTCTACAGGACGTAAAGGAATTTTAGTTGACATTTTTGCCTTTCGTAGATTAGAAAAAGTAAATTTGGTAATTCCAGAATTAACAAGAAATGTTGCTGAAATTGGATATATTTTTGAATAACAACGCAAACGAGTTATTCGAAAAATATGAATTGCAGAATTTATACTTTTCATTTTAAAAAAGATGTGTGGGAAATTTGGTTTTATAAAGATTAGAATCGTTACACGATCTTTATGCATTGATTGGTCAAAATAAGTATAGTATATAAAGTATAATATGTTAAAAGAACTTCATTGTAGAATATCGATATAAACCTTTTGTCCTAAAATCGTTGTAAAAATAACGAAAAGTATCGCTTCACACATTATACTATTGTTTGGGCTAAGCCGGCAATTATTTATTAGGCCGGAGGTGATTTTTATTTAAGTAGTTAAGAAATATGTTAACACATTATGACATATAGTGAATAATTGACCAAGATTGGTCAGGAACGGCAAAGACATACCTCGATATGCACTGTACGTGCTGTACTCACACTTGGCTATATATTAGTACAGTACATTTTTTACTTTACATTATTATAAAAAGCGCACTGTAATGAATGGAATAAAATTATGAACACAATAATACAATACAATGCTTTGAAATTTTATTACTGTAAATATAAACTTAGTTTGTTCAAACCCGCGTAGAAACTTTTTGTGAATCTTTTTGTAAATGTTTGATATAAATACGTATACATATCTATATTTCTTAACTGTTTAAGACAGTAAAATGTTACTCGTTTACAGTTGACACTGAAGTAAAAATTACCTAGAATCATTACTTAATACAAGATCTAATTTCAGAGGTTTAATTTTGGTCAGGTATAACTTTAGTTATTTATTTCATAAATAGTTTTATAAATATGTATCTGATGCGTATATATATATATAAATATAAAATTTTAAATAAATTATGTGAAACCTTTTCCAAGGTTATGAAAACTAAGAACCAGATTTCGTACTGTCTAATAAATTTTTTTTTTTTTTACTATTATTTATGAATGTTCAGCTTGTCCCGTTGGAAGAAAACAGTATAAATATTTAATTTCGGCTTCCAAATCCTATAAAACAAAGTTAACGCGTAATTCAATATATTAAATATACTAAATGTAAATTTTTTTTTAAAAAAGTACAAACCTTGCAGTACTCGTCCAATGGCAAATCATTTACATCATACCCTAAATAATAAAATTAGCAATACAATAATAAGATTAGAAATAGTTCACAAAAAAAAAAAAAAAAGAGTTACGACTTAAGTTAGTGTTTCTGGCTAAACTACTTTTTAAAGTCCAAAATATTGCTATTAATAAATAATTTGCTAGAGAGAAATACAGCTAAATGCAACTCATAGGACCAAATTTTAGCAACTTGTGTTTAGAGAACTATAAGGAAAATTGCATTGGTCTACTGTAATTTCGATTTAATTCTCAAATATATAGTAAAGTCCGAAATGTTTCGAATTCACTTGAAACACTAACTTGAGTATGTATATGAAATCTTATATAACTTACCAAATGGATCCTCAATTTCCGAACCTATTCACATGAAATATTACGTCAGAACCATACATGACAAAGATAAATGACAATATTTAATCTACTCACCGATTGCTTCAACACCAAAAAGAATAAAAGAGATTACAAAGATAACTGGAATAGTTAACCATCCAAGTATATCGACAAGAGTGAATGGAAGTAACCAAACGTACCTACCATTAGACAAAAAACGTAACGATTAATATCGTAAAAAGATTTGAGCTATAAAAAAAAATAATAATAATAACAATAACTTACAAAGTCACAGCTTGCTTCCTATATAATGAATAATAAAGATATTAATTAAAGGAATGAAATTACATTAATATAAGATTCAAAATTACTTACAAATGAACTCTGTAAGCTAAGGGAATGGGCGTGTTACTAATCCTTTCAAGACTGCCTAAAATATCAATAAAGTGATCCAAGATTGACCAAAGTCTATAGGATTCGATTCTTTTTTCACGTGCCAGTTGTTCGAAATATACACCCAGATGAAACACAATTTCCTATAATTAATAAAGACCAATGATATAACAAAAACGAAAAAATGTAAATAATAATAATAATAATAATAATAATAATAATAATAATAATAATAATGATAATAATGATAATGATAATAATAATAATAATAATAATAATAATAATAATAATAATAATAATAATAATAATAATAAT